GGGCATGCCTTTGGAAGGCCGGGTGCACGGTGATGCCCGTGTGACCGGGCGCTGTGCCGCCTGTGGTCCTGCCCTCTGCCCTGCCAGGGAGGGCCACCCGCTGCCCTGGTGCCAGCAGACGGAAGGGGTGAGGGCCTCGGCGGCTCCAGTTTGTCCCTGCCACCGCAGACATCCTCGCTCGGCAGCCGTTTTTCTAGCTGAGCATCCAGAGGACAAACTAACCATTTAAAATCTGCAAGCTGGACAGTCTTTGCTTTGGAGCCTGCGGCGGATTCCTTCATCCTGACAGCCCGGCCATTCTTCTCACTGACGCGGGTGCGGGATCCAGGACGAGGGTGATGCTGAGGGCGCGGGCGCTGGGCCAGGCCTGCAGGCTCGGGGCCCACCTCCGTGGGCGGGAGCGCTGGCATGATCTCCCTCCCGGAGCCCCCCTCGCTACACGGGATGGCCACGCGTCCTCCTTTACTGGGATAATGCACACAGCGTAACGTTTGCCTCTGGCGGCGTTTACAACATTCACAGCGTGTGACTTGCACCACTGTCCAGACAAGGAAACCACGTTCCCCATCCGCTGTCACTCCCATCCCCTCTCACTCCCTGCGATCACTCCTCTTTGTCTCCACGCATTCGCCGCCTGGATGTCCCGGAGAAGTGGAATCAGGAACATGTGTCTGGCTTCTTCCTCTCAGTCTGTTTTCAAGTTCACCCATGGAGCATGTGCGGTAACGTCCTTCCTCTGAGGGATGACCAGCGCTCTGTTCGCTTGTCCATCCGCGTGCTGACAGGCACCCGGCGGCCTGCACGCTGGGCTGCGGACAGAGCTGCTCCGAGCAGCCACGTGCCCCCTGTTGTTTGAGCCCCTGGTGTTGCTTCTTTGGGGCGCGCTCTCTTGTGGGACATTCTGCGACTTTCCTGGGCCAGCCTTGAGCTTGAGAGGCAGCAGGTGGGAAGGTCATGGCCACCGGGGGGTCTGGCCTCGGGCACATCCCTCCTGCTCTCCGTGCCTCCGTCTCCTGCTCTGTAGAAAGGAGGTATAATAGACCAGCTCTGTCTCTTCGCGGTCTGGGGAGCCCGGCGGAGGGAGCTTTGGGGAGAAGGAGGCCAGTCGGCGGGCTGAGGTCCTGTCACAGCTCCTTCCCTCTTCCCCAGGAGCCCCATGCTGTGCCTGTTGTTGGGTCTGCCCAGACAGCCCTGTCCCCGAAGGACATGAATCATACGGGGAGGAGGAGGAGGAGGAGGAGGAGGAGGAGGAGGAGGAGAAGGAGGAGGAGGAGGAGGAGGAGGAGGACTCGGGGCAGGAATCAGCTTGATCCTGCCGGAAGGAGACACTCGGCCCCTGGAGGCCCAGCCTGGCTCCGCCTGGTCCCGAAGGCCGTGGGGCAGGGACGTGGCTCTGGGCCGTGGGGAGCGGGAGGCTGTCGGACCGTTTGGGGGAGGCATGGCCCTCCGCATGGGGCGTTCACTTCTCCGCCCGAGCACGCCGTGGCTGCCCCCGAAGCATTCAGAGCAGCAGAGGGGAGCGTGGGCTCTGGAACCATCCTGCCTGGGTCTGCGAGATGAGCCTGTGACCTTGGGCAGACCACGTACCTGCTCTGCGCCTCAGTTTCCCCACCTGTAAAGTGGGCATGTTCCTCCTTCATCTGTTTTTGTGAGGATTAAGTGAGACGACCCCACAGGCTCCTAGAGCAGTCACTGGCCTTAGACGTCATTCTGCCAGTGTTAGCCATCACCATGGTAACGATGACACAGACAGTGAAGGCCCTTGGGCCCCCAAATCACCCCCCTTCCCAGCCCGGGGACGCGTCTTACTGGGAATGTTGACGGTTCTTCCTTTGCTCTGCGTGACTTAGCCTCTGAGCGTCCCGTGTGGCTCTTTGGCGTGTGCGTGTCCATCTCCCACCAGTTCTAGGCTTTGGGCAGCCAGGGCCAGCCCGGGGACTGCCCACCGGCGGGGAGGTGGACTGAGACCGGATGAGGGAAGTGGGCTGGGCAGGCTGGCAGCGTGGGCCTGGGAGCAGGCAGGTGGCTCGGACATGTCCAGCAGTGGGAGGTGGTGTGGGGGCCGAGGCAGCCTCAGGGCCTGGCCAGCCTGAGCAGGACGGGGTGGGCTTGGGCCAGGCCCTTGGTTTCCTTTGCTCAGAGAGGCTGCTGGGCAGAGGGGCGGGTGGTCCTCGGAGGCTCGGTGTGGGGTGTCACTGTTGTCTGGGGAGGAGGGTGCTTTGAGGGAGCTGCTCAGAAGGCATGACTTCCCGGCTGCGGCCTCTTGCACAGCTGCTCAGCGGAGCCCTGATGACTCGCGGGATTTGGCCACACAGCCGGCCAGACTGTGGGTCCTGCCGCCGCGCAGAGCTATCCAGTGTCTCTCCCTACTCGCCAGGGCTCTGTCAGGGCAGACTTCTGTGGTCTTGTCCCCTGATGGCACACAGTGCTCAACAGCTAATCTTGAATCAATAAGTGGTCTGAGAGCTTCTCTCTCTCTCTCTCTCTCTCTCTCTCTCTCTCTCTCTCTCTTAAATATGTTTTTTTAATGATTTCAGAGAGAAAGGGAGAGGGAGAGAGAGAAGCATCAATGATGAGAGAGAATCATTGATTGGCTGCCTCCTGCACGCCTCACACTGGGGATGGAGCCCACAACCTGGGCCTGTGCCCTGACTGGGAATTGAACCCTGACCTCCTGGTTCATAGGTTGACACTCCACCACTGAGCCTCTCTGGAGCTTTTCTCTTTGAAGGGCATTTACTGGGGGTGGGGGGGGGGGGGTTCTGCAGGTTGGCGTGAGGGTTGACTGAGGGATGTTCACGAAGGACTTCTTTGGGCGCCTGGGTCGCTGGGAGGGACACTGATAAGCCTAGAGGAGGTGGGACGCCGTGTGTCCCCATCCTCTGGGCCAGGGGGTCACAGTTCCCAGCCTGGTCCTGGGCAAGGGCAGGGATGCGAGGGGTTCCTGTGGCCACAGACCAAGCCTCTGCACTGCCAGCTCCTAGAAGTACAGGTGGGTGGGCCTGGACACACACGAGGCTCGGTTCACCTAAACGGCTACTGACGTCAGCTGCTGTCCGCTCTCGGTGCCCAGTGAAAACCAGCGGCGCCTGGAGATGATGGAAGGATCGCCTCTCGGTAACTCGGGGCAGGCACCGTGACAGAGCCACTCATTGTGGGCACGGGGTGCAGGGCAGGGGGTTAGGGGGCGCAAGGTGGGGATCGACGAAGGCAAGCCCAGCAGTGCTGGCGACCTGAGGGACCGCACAGCACTGCCCCCCTCAGGCTGTGGACGGCTCACACCGCGGAGACTGGTGGTGAGGAGAGGGTGGCCGTGGTGGCGGGCGTGGCTGTGCTTTAAGTGCATTAAGAACCATCGCTCCTGACGACCGCTCGTGAGTGCGTGATCGGCTGAGTCCCGGGCTCCAGCCCTGCCAGTGGAACGTGGTCGGGCTGCAGCCCCAGCAGGTCTGTGTGCACCTGGCCTGTCACCTCCTCCCGGGACCCAGTCAGCGGAGTCTCCGCCGGGGTGTACCCGGCAGTGGCTGCGTTTTGCTGCATCTAAGCGCTGGCTTCCACCATCCTCAGTGACAAATGTTCACAGACACACGTCCGCTCAGGGAGGGAGAGCATTGCCGGGCGCTCAGCGCCAGCTGCAGCCCGTGTGGAAACCCACTGGGGGCGGCAGCCGCCTCTGCCGTAGGCCTGCCCCCTCACGGCAGAGGCTGGCTTCCAGAGCCCTGCCCCCATCTCTGCCAGGGCGTGTGCCCTGCGTGCACGGCTGCTGGTTTTCCCTTTAACCTGCCCTGCCTGCCTGGCTTTGGTGACAGTCTCTTCTTAGTCCCCAAAGCCAAGTCCAGGGCCTCAGGTCACAGGTGTGCAGCACAGGGCCCGGCCCAGTGTGGGGTGACTGCTGAGGGAGGTTGTGCTCCCAGGGGAGGGCCGTGCCCCTGGGGGAGGCCCCGGGCTGCAGAGGGGTGAGACGGGGCCTCCACCACGTGGCTCTGACAGTCCAGGGCCGCAGCCCACGTGCAGCCATCGCCAAGGCCACGGGGAGCGTGGCCAGAGCAGCCGTAGGGGAAGCGCGGTCCTGCCAGGCCCACCAGCCTGTGGAGCCGGGAGCAATGGGCCGTGTCCTGCTCTGAGCGGGCAGTGACTTAGGCGGATGTCACCCCTAGCTTCTATGGAAATCATTCATAAACCAGTCATCCCATCTGCAGGGAGAGTGCTGTGTTTATAAACATTTAATTTACCTCCAGGTGCCCATATTCCCTCCATCTTTGCCTCAACTCTGCTGACATGGCTCAGCTCAATGGATTAAGTTATCCGAGTGGGAATGGCCCTCTCTCCCTGGTTTTCCTTCTCTCTCTCCCCCCTTCCTCCCTCTTCCCTCCCTCTCTGTCTCTCTGTCTCTTTCTCTCTCCTTTTCTCTCTCCCCACTCCCTCCTCCCCCTCTCCCTCTCCTCCTCCCTCTCCCCGTCCCCCCCCCCCCCCCCCCCCCCCCCGTCTCCCTGGAAGGTGAATGTATTGTGTCTGTGTGATCTCCGTGTGATGGGCTCAGGGGTTGGGGTTGAGCTGGGAGAGCCAGCATCTCTGTGACACCACGAAAGGCCAGGCAGGCTTTGGAGGACAGACAGAACTCTCTGAGGGCGACCTCTCGAATGGAGACCTGTTGTGGGCATGCGCTTCCCTTTTCAAATGGATGCCGTTTAGAATCGGCCGTGGTGTCTGAGTTTCCACCCACAGAGATACCTTGGGCCCTGCCACCCTCTCCTTGTGGGAAGCAGTGCTTAGACCCTGCTGTGTGGCGGGGTAAATGGAAAGGGCTTTCAGCAAACACAACGGACGCAGCCCTCGTGGGGGTTCCCCTGGGCGGGGGTCCCCTGGGCGGGGTCCCCCTGGGCGGGGGTCCCCTGGGCGGGGGTCCAGCCCCGCGAGGAGGCAGCCGCGGGCCCGGCAGAACGTCAGCTCGCAGTGTCCCCTGGCTCCGTGGTCACTGTCTCTCTGTTCTTCTGTTTCAGGAGATCGCAGCGTATTTAATAACCTTTGAAAAGCATGAAGAATGGCTCACTACGTCCCCTAAGACAAGGTAAGCCGGATCTCGCAGCTCTTCCGCCTCGCACGGGGTGGGTGGATTTTCCTGGCTTGTCTGATCGGGCCGGTCAGGTCCCGGCCGAGTGGAAGTGCCACGTGGTGTGTGATGGCTCGTGGCACCGAGAGCACTGATTGGCCCAAGACCATGGGCACGGGGGCAGGGGTGGTGCTCTCCCCTGGCGCTTACTGCCGCCCCCCAGCCTACGGGCGCCTGCGAGCCTTGTTCCCCAGGAGCCTCGGGCGTTTATTTTGGGAACCTGCCACCCTGTTGTCTAGAGACTCATTTTAAAAAAGGGAACCCTCTGAATGGCCCACACCCACCTCAGTGAGGCTGACAAACGGAATTTGGGTTATTCTTGGTGGCTGTGGCTATGCGTGTGGTTTATGACGCGGTGAATGTCCTTGAACCTGCCGCCCTCGGGGAGGAGAGGGCTGGCGGATAGGGCAATGCCGCCTGCCATGGAGGGCTGGTCCCAGGCTGGAGGCTGGGCCTCAGGAAGCAGCTGCCAGGGTCCCCGCGGGCGTGGGCAGAGCGGAGATGGAGGGAGAGCATTGCCTGCTGGGCCGGGCTCCCCGTTTCCACGGGAAGGCGCGCCCCGGGAGGAGGGAAGTTCTGCGGTTGTTCAAGGACCTTTCCAAATCAGTGGTGAGGAGCCCCGCCCGCCGGCACTGCCGAATTAATTGGCGCATTAACTGCCGTGCACCCCCCGGCCCCTGGTGTCAGGGAATCAGCGGCGCTGCCGGCTGCGCGAGGGGCAGGCGGCTCCTGGCCGCCGCCGCTCCTCCGTTTGGGGAAATTAATAAGAACGAATTGCACCGCTGACATTTATAGAGTTTCCTAATAAAGTGATACATTGTTTGTGCGGTGGGATCCCTCTGAAATTAATTGTGATAATCAGTGCATGTAGATGTTGGCGCAGGGGCTTTGGGGGGACCGGTCCGGTCTCCGGGGCCTTGCCTGGATTCTGGCCTAATTACCGAGCGCCCGCCCGGAGCCGCACCTGTTTCATAGGGAAGGAAGGAAGTGCTTCCGGGCGCCGGGGCGGGTGCGGCGCAGAGGCTCCCAGACGGCCCGCACCGAGTGTCCCGTCAGCTCCCGTGGTGGCAGCGGCAGCGGGGACCCTCGGGATGCTGAGTGCTCGCTGTGCGCTCAGCACCGTGATCACGCCATTCGCAGACCCGGGAGCACCCAGTCCCCCACCCCATGGACGAATTTCCCTTCTTGGAGTCGAGAGCTTCCCCCCCCCTGTTAGAATGTTCTTTCAGCTCCTCCTTCCTGCCTGATCCAGGGGTCACTTCCTCTGCGAGGCCATCCCCGAACCCAGTCTAATGTCACACCCTCCCCCAGCCAACTCCGCCCGCCTCCTGCTTATGTTCCCCGAGAGCCCTACCTCCATCGGACACTGTGTCCCCCCTTCCCCGCTCTGAGAGCGAGCAGGCCAAGAGGAGGGGCATTGCGGTCTGGCTTGGGCGTGGCGTGCACCCCTCGCCACCTTGGGGCTGTCCGTGGGGAAGGAGGAGGCCTGCTTCACCGTTCCTTTTGTCTGCACATCTCCCCCAGGACCGGCTGCTGGGCCCAGCACTGTCTCTGTTGTTTTTTTCCTGCTCAGTAGTTATTTTTATTATTAGATTCTAAGAGAGATTATTTTTTTTTAAAGATTTTTTATTGAACGTATTGGGGTGACATTGGTTAATGGGATTATATAGGTCTCAGGGGTGCAGTCCTATAACACATCACCTGTGCATTGTGTGTGCACTGCCCCAGGTCAAGTCTCCTTCCATCACCACTTTTCCCCCTCCCCCTCTCCTACATCCCCCACCCCTTCCCTCTGATCATCACCATCCTGTTGTCTGTCTAGAGTTTGGCTGTTTCTGTTTTGTTTTGTTTTTTGCTTAATCCCTTCACCTTCTTCACCCAGGCCCCAACCTCCCCTCCACCCCCAGGAGCCGTCAGACTGTTCTCTGAATCTAGGAGTCTGTTTCTACCTCTTTAGTTTATTTTGTTCATTAGGTCCCACATATGCGTGAGATCATGTGACACTTGTCTTTCTCTGACTGGCTTATTTCACTTAGCGTGATGCTCTCCAGGTCCCTCCACGCTGTCGCAAAAGGCAAGACTTCCTTCTTTGACTTATGGCTGAGCAGTATTTCACTGGGAACGGCCCCGTGTTTTATCCTGGCGCCATGCTTCGAAGTCCTTTCCCCTGCTCTGTGGGCAGTGAGTCGCGGAGAGGGTGCAGGGCCTGTCCGGGCTGCCCAGCGCGCATCGGAGCTAGAATTTGAATTTGAGTTGGATAAGGCCACAGTCTTAGCACTTTGCAGGGGGGCGTGGGGTTTGGGGGTGCCCCTGGTCCTCTCCACCTCCAGCTCCAGACTTCTGAGCCCCCCTGTCGGTGCATGAGGTTTAGGCGCCGGGCCAGGTATGCTCCTGTGTTGTGTCCTGAACTGGATTCGGCCCCCAAGTCGCAGGCAGAATGGGAGGAACGCACTGTCCCCCTATATTTCAGAGGAAGTGAGAGGGGGAGAGAGAAACACCAATGAGAGGAAATCATTGATTGGCTGTCTTCTGCACGTCCCACACTGGGGATCAAGCCTGCAACCTGGACATATGCCCTGATGGGGAATCGAACCGAGACCTGGTTCACAGGTCAATGCCCAGCCACTGAGCCACGCCGGCCGGGCAGCAACCCAGTGACTTACTCCTCTCCCCCGGGAAACGCGGGCCTTCCCCGGAGGCCGGGACTCGCAGGCTCCGGATGGGACGGAAGGCACTTCCTTCCCAGGAACCCTGTGTCACGGGAAGGAGGCTGGAAAATGCTGTTACTTATCTAATTAACTAATTAGATTTCTATGGTAGCACCGAGCGCTGCAGCCCTGAAGGCCCAGTGATAGGATTTCCCCGACTGCACACGGAATGCTCGGGGTCAGTAAGCAGTGACACAGCCAGTGGAGGGCGGAGAAGAGGAGGGAGCCCAGAGCCTCCAGCTGGCCCGGGCTGCCTGGCTCTCTCTGTGCCCGCGGGCAGAGTTGGGGGTTGGGAATTGGGAGTGAGAGAGAGAGGAGAGAGAGTGAGTGAGAGTGAGAGCAGGCCCGTGCATGGGGTGCTGTGGGGGTCTGTGTTTCAGGGCGGCCACCTTTGCGTGTGCGGAGCTGGGGACCTGCTGTCACTTCACACAGCGCCCGCCATGGCCACCCCTCAGCACCCGCTGGCCGCGCACAGCTAATCCCTGACGCGTCCCCACGGCAACACCAAAGGGCAAATGCAAGTGAGGGGTCCGGCGGTCTGCTGACTCAGGACTCGTGGGTGGGGCGGGAGCCTGCCTGCCTGGGACCCCCATGCCAGGGCCACCCCTCAGAGGCGCTGTAGCTCAGGAGGCGGGATTAGCTGTGACCTGGATCCTGGCAGCGCGTCTGGCGTTGGCGGTGGGAAATCCCCGGCTCCTGACGGGGGGCTGTCCCAGATTCCAGGCCATGATGGGAACCACAGGCGGCGGGCGGCAAGCCGGCAGGAGCCGCAGGGGCTGCCCGAGTTCCACCCCCCCTCCCCCACCAAGTCCCCCTGAGTCCCCCTAGTCCCCACCGTGCACAGAAGGGGCAGGTGGGTGGGGGGACGTCGTCCTGCACATGGCTCGGCATCCTCAGCCGTCCTTGGCGGCCGGTGGCGGGGACACTGCCAGCTGGACCGCTCTGTCCGCCATCCGGCGCCTTCGGAGGGAGGACGCGAGGAGGGGCGAGGAGGGATGGGTGTGGGTGTCTCACCCCTCCCAGGCGAGCAGCTGCCAGCTGCCATCCTGCCTCTCCTTCCTCCTGTTTGTTTGCAGTGAGCACACATGTCACCGTTAGTAAGTCCCCTGGTCCCTCAGGCTCGGCGGGGAGAGCTGCAGCCCTCCGCCCATTTCCCAGGCGTGGCCGTCAGGCCCCACGCCTGCCTCCGGCTTCTCGCTGCCGTTCGACTCTGCCTTGAGGTGTCCACGTTAGATGTTACGTGTGACTCTGGCTCAGTGAGGACAGCCCTCCGCTCTGCCTCTGCCTGTTCTCCTTGCGGGGAGGGTCGTGGCCGGCAGGCGGCGGGCGATGCTGCCCTTCGGCTCTGGCTGAGGCTGGCAGCCGCTGGAAGCAGGCAGGGGAGGGGCTTGGTGTCTCACAGGAATGATGTCTTTCTCCTGGGGCACTGTGTCCCCGCCTCTCCTCCGTGGTGTCCGGGGCCGGGGTCAGAGGACAGAATGTCTCCAGGGGGTAGGGCCCGTGGGTACCTGGCTGCTCGGGTCCATGTAGGCCTGGGGTGGGTCTGATATCCCCATGAGATCTGCAGCCTCTCCCTACTCCCCCACACCCCACTCTGCCCTCACCTCTGCTTCTCTGGCCCCTTGCGGGTCTGCAGGTGGACTGGCTAGCTCCCGGGTCCCTCTGTGGCAGGTGGCTTCCACGCTGTGTCTGCTTTCTGTCCATCTCTCCAGGATGTGTCACCTTCAACCCTGCTCATCCCTGTCCCCTGTGCTCCGTCCTCGTGGGTTCATATCTGTTTCATCCCTTACTTGTCACCGGTCGCAGGCAAGATGCTCAGCCCTCCGTGTCCCCTGTCTGCCTCTGGCCTCTCGCTTCCTCATCCTCTCTCCCTTCTCACGCTCACGCTCAGTCTCCCTTGCCATTTCACTCTCCTGCTTCCTGGGAGAGCGTTCTCATCCATGGTGAGAGAAACACTGATCACCAGGTGGGCGGTGCTGGAGACAGAGGGCATGATGGGAGAGATGGACACCGATCACCAGGTGGGAGGTGCTGGAGACAGAGGGCATGATGGGAGAGATGTTTCTCATGAAATAATAGCCAAACTTTGAGATTTTTTTGTGCTGTGGGGCACAGAAGGGGAGGAAAATCCCCCCTGCACTTTCTGAGTGAGAGAATTCCAGCCTCACCCCCGTCTCCCCTCGGCTCACGGCGGGAATTACCCAGGTTCCGCCGTCTCTGGCGCCTCATCTCCTTGCCCGGTGCCGGAGG